TCTGACTCTCTTACTTAACAGCACGTGGGCCAAATTTCAAATTTATTGTTAGAATGCTTGTAGCATCCACTAATGGCGGCCGGTCGCTCTATATTAATGCAAATTGGAAAATTCCGTCTCCGCTCCTTGCTGAGCAGCTGAGGTTTTTTGATTGATTTGGCAAAGGCTTCCGACTGGGCCGCATGCGATAATGCAACTTTAAGCGATTGCAATTGGCCCATGCTTATCCAATTTGTCGCTGCCAATAACAATGTTAATGGTCTTGAATTTCAATTGATTTAACATCGAAACAGCAACTAGCTGAGACATCTGGTGGAATTTATCCATTTTTTAATTGACTTTGATTGGGGTTTGATTAGTTACGAGCCTATAGGATCGGTGATGGGGCACACATGCTTAGTGTCTTGTTAGAGCCAGAAAGTGGGCATCTGGCAATTAATGTTAAATAACAGACATGAGAGCGGAAAGAAACAAATCGAGAACAGCGCACTCAAAGCTTTTGTCGATGCATTTTTTGGCGCAATCGTTGACAATGCAGCCATTTGGTCTAAATTTAAATGACTCAATTTTAAAATTGTCCAGGAGCGGCGTGCACGACGGTCCGGGTTGCTTTATTTTCGAAACTGGAACGAAATAAATTGGCAAGGTGAGGTTTAAGTGGTTTTCCCTGGAAACTTTTTGACCAAATAAATTTGAAAAGGGTCCGCGAACCGACGTCCCCGGCGAATTCCACTGCCTTAAGCAACTTTTCGACTGTTTTTCTATCAAATCGGACAGACAGAGTATGCGGCCCGTGCAGCAAATTTGACTTCGGCAGTAAATGGCACGATGACTAATTCTTCGCACTGTACGGAAATCGTTGTGGCATGCGAAAAAACAACATTAAATACAATCGTTGCACGGAACGGCGATTGTAATCTGAAATTCAGATTAACTTCTAAGTATAAGACAATGATTTCATGCATTAAACAAACGGATCTTCCTTGACAAGGTGAAAAAAACGGAGAATCGCTTCTTCATCGCGCTTCAGTCCACACCAAGTTCGTTACAAGGCCGTGCATTGATCAGTGGCAATAACATTTTTACGGGGTTTACTTTTCATCAACCTTATAGCAGTTGAAAGCTTCAACTAGACCAAGGGCATTTTCAAATCGATTTTTACGATCGATGAAGATTTAGCTGAAGAAATGGAGAGATGAGCGTTGTGGTTCGCAATCAAAAGCAAACTTGCTGAAGTTAATGTTGGTGTTGATTTCCGGAATATGGAAGATTCTACTTTGTAGGAAACAGAAATTGTAAAACATTGACTAGGAGGAACGACGCTTAACTAATTGTTTATTTTACTAAAAACGTTAACAAAAGAAACTTCGGACGGTTGAAGAATGAATGAAAAAAGTTGAAAAGAACCGAAGTATTGAAGAGATGCTTCGAATGAGAAGAAAATATGCATCGTCAACAATTTTGTTTGTTTAGAGACTGATGAGAGACAAGACTAAGAAGACTCAAAAATGCGTTAAAAGGAAAACAGTTTTTCAAATGGACGTTTTCTGCTTGAACCTTGGGGTGGAAGATCTGGAATACGAATTTCTGGAGTAAAAAGAAAGAAGGCACATAAACACCCGATTTTCAAGCAAATTTTGAAAATTGCTCAAAAATCAACGAAAATTTGGAGTTYTGAAAARTTGCATSTTYTTTACTAAATGCCGAMATTGCACTTCATTATCTGCCCTTGATACTATTTCAACAATKACRCACACAATAAAACAATCGKGCCCATTAAAATATCAGATTTYGAAAAAAAATTRAMAATTYACCAAAAATTACCGAAAATTSCTGCACCTGTAAAACTTYTAACTTTTGAAAATGTGCGTCTCTTCTTCTAAAATACCAAAATTCCACCTTATTATTTGYGGCTAAAAAYGTGAGGAAACTTCAAATACTCGCGAATCAAGTTAAACASTAGATTTTCAAGTAAAATTTGAAAATTGCACAGAAATAAACAAAAATGTCYGCTCAACTGAAATTTTTGAGTCGTGAACATTTGYGKTTTTGCYGCTGAAGTACAAAATTCCACTTTATTACCTGCGCTTGATAAAATTTGATAACTTTTGATAARCAATCATGTCCAAATCAAACACCAACTTTTGAGGTAAATTTTGAAAAAATCTCAAAAATTATGGAAACCTTCTGCAAATGTCAAACTTTGGGCTCTTGAAAACTTTCGCCTCCTCTACTAAAACACAAAAATTCCGGTTTGCTACATGCTCCCTAAAATATTTTTGGAATTTTCAAAGACAACCGCGCCCCATATAAACATTCGATTTTCAAGCAAATTTTGAAAATTGACCAAAAATCAACGAAAATTCCTGCAAAACTTAAATTCTGGAAACCTGAAAATCTGCATCGTTTTCATTAAAAYGCCAAATGTTTGCTTCATTATCTTCTCCTGCTAACATTTGATAAATTTTCAAAAACAATCGAGCCCAATTAAAACAGATTTTGAGGTAATAWTGRGAAAYTTTCCAAARATCACCGGAAATTTTTGCAAATGTGAAAYTYATKGAYTCTTGAAAACGTACGCTTCTCCYACTAAAATGCAAAAATTCCGGTTTAGTATCTGCGCTTAACAAGATTTGTGAAATTTTCAAAGACARCCGCGCCCCATATAAACACMCAATTTTGAAGCAAATTTTGAAAATTGCCCAAAAATCACCGAAAATTTGTGCACAATTGAAATTTTGGAGATTTMAACATGAGAACTTTGTGTACTAAAATACCAAAACTCTACTTAATTATCTGCTCTTAAATGGATTTCATAAATTTTTRMAAATCGTGCCCAAWTAAAACATYARAYTTTGAGGTAAATTTCAAAAATTTCCAAAAATCACTGGACATTTCTGTGAACGTGAAACTTTGGACGCTTGAAAATTTCGCWTCTACTAATATACCAAAACTACACTTTATTACTTAACCTGTTAACTTTAGCCTGTTAACTTTTCTTCGTGTTCAAGAAGGCCAACAGCGATCCAACACAAACCTGTAGTGTCTTAAATTTCCAGTTGTTAAACTCTGTCTCTTCAAATGCGTTTACAAGAGACGAAAACAACAGGGTGCTAAAAAAATCAACCCGAAACTTTGAAGTTGCATAATATCGTCGCCCTAGAAGGTCCGAAAGGATCTAACAGAACTGATTAGTGTTGCAAAGGATGGGCTTCTGGACAGTTAACTGCAACGGAAACTTTATCCAGTTTCTTGCGTTTCACACATTTAAAGTCGGAATTAGTTTTCCTCAGGCGGATGTAGGCTTGATCCGCCCCGAAGTCGAGGCTGTAAAATTTGAATACTCCTGACTGGAATAGTATGGTTGCCTGTTGTTTTATGCCGGATTAAGTTGGTCGGAATGACATACAAGAGATAAGGGACAGTAATAAGTGAGAAACTTGCCTAAATGGGGCTGTTTGGCTGACGCGACTAAAATGGAAAAAGGATGTTTTACGTCGGTCTTCGACGCCAAGAAAAAATGCGAATTAGTGATTTTAGCGCCTCGTAAATTCCATAATTTACTAACTGGGGCAATTTACGCCATTAGATCTCGTCTAACATCATAATTCTCTGCGTTGAATTATAAATAAACCATCAATTATATCAACCATGCATTGCCAACTGCTAATCGAGCGATTTACTTGAACACATAGTGGGTCAACTCGATGTCTTTTACGTAAAATTTACCAACATTTCGGAAAATATAGGAATTTTTGGCATGGTTATCGTACAGCAGACAAAGTAGTTGAAAGTTCTTTGGCAGAATTAAATGCTAGGTTGTGGACGCAATGGATAATTGGATGAAAATGGGCGAATAATAAATTAAATGAGGCTTCTGGTTGTAGTCGTTTGATCACTCCAATAGACGCATTTGAATAATATTATTCTCAGTTTGATGGATGTAACGACCATGTGAAAGTAACCAGTGATGTTTCAAACGGGCCATTAAGGCGGCATTTTCAATGTTACTTTATATTTGAAATCCCATTTAATACATACATTTGTGCTTTTCAAAATATTTTCTTAATCGGCTGTAGGAGGAGAGAAGCGGGTCTTTGACAGACTCACATTGAGTCCATGTCCTCAGCTCAAGGTTTCAACTTTCACTTCTTCTAAGTTTTCCTTGCAAAAATCCTTTTTTGCCTCTTTGTGTCTTCTGCTATATACTGCTAGCTTTGCTGTTTACACTACATATCCCAGAACGTTTAAATTTGATATTCTGTCCAGAAAATTGAGCTTCTTCAGCCATTAAAGTGGGATTTGCTCCACGTGACTGTAAAACGCAAGTGTGCATCAGCAATAATTCCCTGGAGCGATCAATAGTGCAACTATTCTAGCGCGCTTCAATTTTCGGGATGGTTTATGTACCCTGTTATTATTTGGGCTATAAACTAAAAATTTCTTGTATTCGCGGTTTAGATTAGCGTCGGTGGTTTTCACGGAGATTTTTTTGCGCGATCTTTGCTGTACATTAAAGAGTAATCACCATAACTAAGACGTCTGAAGGTAAAGCTTAATTCCTGTCGAATGCACGCCCCCCAATTTGCAAAATCCATTAAGACGACGATGGTTTGAAAAACCCAATTTTATGGTTCCTGCTAAATGAACGTGTGGGCGATCCGAAACCGAAAGTTTGTTTTGTTTTTGCTTCGGACCAGGTACCAGGTTGGGTTGGACGCCTTTTCAACTTTTAAATGGGGAAACTCGATAAAAGAAGTGCCAGTCACCTACGGAGCAGGATCATTTTCCAATAAAAAGTTTCCTCGGGAAGCGTCCGTGCCCTCATCAAGGTGGAGATTTACAAATCCGTTTTGATTTATGCAAAAAGTAAAGTTTTCGGGCCAAGTTGCAGGAGCATTAGGCCCTGTTGAGTTTCCCGGCTAAGTTATATTGACAGAAGGCGAGTTTTTCGTCGCTACTTCCACTTTGGGGCCTCTAACATTTCACTTTTCTTGCAGGAGTGCAACCAGCCGGCAAACTAATAATGGAATAAATGTGTCCCCGTTATTGTCAAGTTATTTTGGTAGTGTTTCGTCTCCCGTATCCCAAAGCCGATCGCTGAGGAAGTTGTTGGAAAAGTCGGCCGGACGAGAACCGCATCCAGGAAGAGGTAAGTGAAAAGTTTCATTTTTATGAATGTCATCCAGCAAGCGCCTTCTGTGCTGCGGATGAAAGATGGCCACAACTTGGGGCGCTACAAGAACTTTCCCTGGCAATAATGTATTAACCCAGTTTTTTGCGCTTCACTCTCCGAAACTTCAGCTCAACAACTAAGTCCAGGCTGGGATGCCTTGAAGCCATCCAGTAAATCGCTCTATAAAGGCTAAAAACAGTCGCTCTATCAAATTTTTGTTGCTCGCGGGTCTTTCGGGAATTCGCACAACGCTCAATTGCATCCAGGCTTCCGCTTGTGTCAGGCTGGATCACTCTCGGAAATGCCTGGAGGAGCGCACTGCATCGATCAAATACCAAACAGACCGGTAATCGACAATATGGACTTGTACGGGAAGATCGAAGGTGCCATTCGGGCTTGTCGAGATCGTATTATACCGAAATGTTCAGTCTGAACTCAATCAGCAAAGATGCGCTTTGATGTTTTTGGGCTAGAAAATATTTTCAAGCAGACACACTCACACAGTGAAGAGTTGCGGAAAGGCACAACGGGGGGTAGATTTCTGCAGAGATTTTGCTGGAAGCATTCCTTTAGAGGAAAATTGCCAAAGTTTTTTTGTCAAACTAGTTTCACTCCAGTAGAAAATACCATACTAGAAGGTCTGGGTTTGAATGGCGCGGTGCGGGATGATCTCCTTTTAACTGACACCTTGTTTAATCAGTCCTTTTCTTTATGCCCTAACTATTTACTAAACATTGTGTACATGAATATACGAAGTATCAAAAAGAATTCTGATTTTGGTTTCTTCTTTCTTTTTCTTCTTTTTCTTTTTTTTTTATTCCAATTTTTGGTTTTGTATGAGCAATATAATCTCAGTTGTTGTAATGTGATAATTTTGGGTTAGTTTGGGAACTTTATCAACTTCTAGGATATTTTGCCTATTATAATGCTGGGGATAATGGTAGAAATGATGGGATTGTTATTTTTATAAAAACAACAATAATAGCAGATTTAAATTACATTAAATCACCGTTATCAGGGACCAATATAGGTAGGATAGAGTTTGTTCTTGAAGGTGTCACATACGGAATAACAGCTATATACAAGCCTCTACCCATTTCGGAAATTCTTTATATTGACGATTTGAATACTTATTTTGCCGGAAGAACATCTAAGAGCATCTAAATTTATATAATCATTTAGTAAATGAGTACTTATCCTTATTGGGCCAGAACGGATTTTTATCATATATAAACCTTCCCACTCGAATTACAAAAAATTCTAACTCATGTATAGATCATTTATTTGTGAAACAAAAACTAAGAAGTCAAGGCCTGAAACTTCGGCTGAACAGCGATTTGACTGATCACTACCCAATTATTCTAAATATAAATTATGAAAGAGATTTTTCTAGGGAAAAATTCTAGATTATGAGATGTTTAAAGAAAAGATATCTATGGTAAACTGGAACGAAATGGTTAGTTGTTTCGACTCCAATGAAGCGACTAATAAATTTATAAATGTATTTCTTGATGTAAAAAAATCAGCTACAATATTACGTAAAATTAAGTTTAAAAATAATGAAAAAACTAAAAATTGGATTAGTGATGGGTTGATCAATTCCATTAAACATAGAGATAAGTTAAAGAGAGCACTTTTAAGAAATTATACTGCATTAGAAGCTAAATACAAGCACTACAGAAACTTTTTAAATAAACTCTTAAAACAACAAAAATGTCACTATTATAAAAATCAAATAGAAAACCACAAAAACAACCTAAGAAAATATATGAAATAATTAATGATGCTACCAATCTTAACCATAACAAAAAAGAAACAAATTTCTCTATAAATGACACTAATGACACCCCTTTTGACGACAACTTAAGAATGGCTAACTTCTGCAATGAATACTTTATAAATGTTGACTCATTCATAAGTTCTATGTTCTTCGAGATTTTTTGGACAGAAAACTACTCATACAAGTATACAAATCGTTAGTAGAATCATTGCTTAGATATGGCCTCATAATATGGGGTGGAGCCTATGAATCTAATCTAAGACCATTAAAAGTTGTTTAAAATTATATTTTAAGAATAATTTACTGAAAGAACAAACTATATCCTACTAGAGAGTTGTATAACAATGAAATTAGCGACATATCATTGCTATACATACATTCAGCATGCTCATTTACCCATAAGAACAGAAATACTCAAACATATGTAAAACATAACCACAACACAAGACAAATATCTAACAACTTTCTTGCTCTACCTGAAAAAAATAATCGAACAATTCATCTTAAGTTTCTTAATTATGTAGCCCCAAAATTGTATAATTTATTGCCACGGATAATAAGATCAATACATAACTTCAATTTGTTTAATAAAAAATCCAGAGAATATATTACTATACACAGGAACACATTTGTTCAGATACTTTCTCAAAAGTTGAGTTCTCGGGAAAATGTTTTAAGTTGGTGGTTTTAGGTAAGAATATACATGGATGGTATGCTATGTGGATTTCTGTTAAACCAGGACGGAAAATAAAAATATGATTACTGATATAAAAAAAAATTGTAACCTCAAGAGTACATACAGGTACAAAGTATCTAGGTACTCAACAAATAATTTTCACATTATATGAATTGTAAATTGACAAATAGTTTTCTCTTTACATATATATTTTTAATAAATTTTGAATTTGAATTTTCAAACCCCAACTATTTTGAAAATTGGGTATCTGCAAGAACATTTTCCTATGATTTTAGCGATTTTTCCACTATAAAGTATTTTCAAGGAGAGCACAATTGGGAGGCAGGTTTGTCGCAAATTGTCCATCTGCAAGAACATTGGCGCTTTGGTGAGCCTCCCGTGTCCCGAGATTTGTGGGAAATGTGTGAAATGCGCAAAAACTGGCATTCCGTCATTATTCCTGGCAGAATTCGGCCCTCATGCATGCCCTGCAAGTTTTGTCGCCCCGCTTTTCCGTGTGGGTCACGAAAAGCCCAACTCGGAAATGCCTGAGAGCGTGCCGCATCGATCAAACGTCTCCGCTCTCCTTTTTCCTAAAACGTTAGCCTGCATGTTACCAATTTATGGGCCATTATCGTCACTGGATTGCTGGACAGCAATTTGGCCAGCGTTCTCAGCTAAAACCGTTCGTTTTTTTCCAGAATAGCCCCCAAATCCCGCCATGCAACATTCGGGCACTTGGTATCTGCCTTGGGGCATGCCCCTGCAGAAAATGGTGGCAGTGCCCATCCATCCGAGTGGTCATCTGCACCTGCAAACCCCCACTGTCCATATGCAGCCCATGCTAACGGGGCTGCCAGCCCCTTTGGCCACCCTCAGGACTTTTGTGGCCACGCAGCCCAATGCCATGCGACAGCCCCAACGAAAGGTGAGTGGATTAAAAAATTAAAAAAATGTTCACGCACCCGTCTAATGAGCTGAATTTTATCTGACCCTGCTGTGCTGCGCTCATTTAATGTGGAAAGGAATACAAGGAAAAGTAATTTTAAAAAGCAGCGAAAACCCTTTGGTTTTCCAGTTAAGTCCTCACAAGGGAGGCCATAAAAAACTCTGTGGAGGATTTTGTTTGAAAGGGCTGTGGTGAATTAGAATGGATCATTCACTAGCTCCGATTGTTTGGACTTTGCTTTTGATTTATATTATTCTCCCAAAAAAATTACTCTGTTGCTTCAAATCAGCGACAATCCTTCAAGCATCGGGAAAAGATCGGCTCGAAAATAATGCTTGGGTCGCAGTCAAGTTGGATTCAACCGAAAATTGTTATCTCTTTGAGGGAGCGCCGTCTTGCCCCGGAAAATGCAGATTATCGGCGCCCTTTGAGGTCCCGGATTATTAATTAGGAAGGACTTGATCCTGACACGACGATACGATGAAGGGAAATCTTATCGGATTCTGTGATCTGGTCCAATTATTTCGATCTGGAAAAATAAATGCGCTCGAGGGCTTCCAGGCCCCTTCGACTTGATTATCCTCAAGTTATTTACGGTCGGCGAAGGTGTATGAGAAAGTTGAAAGCGAAAGCCACAGCTAACTTTTCCCTGGATGAAGCAACACGTTGCTCAGTTCCGGAAGATGTGCTTAATCCATGGTTCCATTAGGGCATGATTTAGTAATGATTGTTCGATAACATTATCAGGAAGGCAACTTGGTCCAGATTATCCAGCTGGAATTTAACATCAATGGTAGGTTTATGAACATACTGTTGTGTGTATCCACGCATAAGTGACAGTGTTTATTTAGGCAAAACGTCTATTTTGCACGCCGAATGGATCAATTTGAATGAAAGTTCCCATGAATTCCAAATATTTACCCGAGTCGCATTTCAAAGCCGCAGAAAGGCGTGTTTCGCATGGGACTTGTTTATGCTAGAGGTGCATTTGCAAAAGCGATTTATCCAACATTGTGCTTGTGGCTTAAACCAATGATTTCCTTACTTCTTATTTCGTCTCCAACCTTTTCATTTCTGAACTGATTGCATAGATTTTAGGCATTACCTGATTGATGATGCATGCTTGTGCAAAAATCGACTTTCAAACCAAAGCTATTTTTCAATATTCCACTTTTTCTCGGCGAATTGAGGCTGAGGAAATTGAATATTCCACCCTGTGGAGTTGAGATGAATCTAATAAGCCGGAATTCCTATTTATTTCTTTTGCGGCTTCTCCCCCGTTCACAATAAAGCCACTGCCTTGATCATAATTATAATAAAAATTCGTTCAGGCAGGCGGGCATTTCTCTCAGAAAAATGTGTTTTTTAAATGAATTGTTATCATCACTTTCGGGCGTCAGTCATTAAGTCCGATGGGGAAAACATTTTGATGAGTTTCGTCAATTTCAACCATCATCAAGTAAACCCTAAATCGATTCCTTTCGAAGTAAGAAGCTTTCAAATGTGCATTTATAGTGTTTGGGTCAATAATAAGTAAAGAATCGTCGGTTAAAGATCGTCAACG